TGTGGGTGGAGCAGGTGGTGCAGGGGCGTGGGGTGGGGTGGGGTGGAGCGTGGGTAAGGTCCCGGGAGAGAGGTCTGTTCCGGGGTTTGCACAGGAACTCTGTCCTCGGGTTGGCCTGGCTGCGAAGGGGCTGGTGGTGGCGGCTGCCGCCCCCTTTCTGAGCGTCCTCTGCGTCTCTCGCCCCAGAGTCCCACCCGAGGGTGTCACCACGAGGACACCCATCCCTCCACAGAGCGCATCGCTCCTGAGAGCGCCCAGGGGCACATTCCGAAGCCCTCCTCGAGCCTCCCCTGCCCCTGCCTCCTGCCCTCCCCCACTCCCTCCCTTCCTAACTGGAATTTAGAAATGAGACCATGGTCACAAAGCCACAATGAGCACGTGTATCTGCACTGAGAGATGAAGCCAGACTTTTCCTGTTGGAAGTGAACAGCCTGGGGGCTGGTCTGACGGGCTCGGACCCCCGACCAGGGCTCAGTAGGGGCGGCCTCAGACCAAGGCGCTGAGCCTGCCGCCCGCTGTCGCCTGAAGTACGTGTACCGTCCACGCTCACTATCGCGTGTGCGGGAAACCATCCTGGCAATGAGTTAAAGTTCAGGCTCAGACGTCACCTGTCACCTCTGAAACGGTGCAGAGGGGGGCACTTTCAGGATTCGTTAAGGGTGTTTTGGGGGCATTTGAAGACCATTGTGCTGGGGTCCAAAGAGGCAGCTTGGAGAGCAGGATCCAGGGACCGCGCACAGCGCACCCCGGACAGCAGACAGGGGGACCCCTTACCCTGCTGAGTCCTGTTACATTTGCAGGAGCCGCCCGCCTTCCCTGCAGGTGCTGCGGCCACCAGAATGCTGCCTCCCGCCCTGGACGGTGGCCTGCCCCCTCCCCTACACTCCCTCCCCGCACCCGTCCTGGGTCAGGCCTCCTGAGGACACGCTCTGAGCGCCGCCAACCAGGATGCGGCTGCTGAGGGGGCCTCCTGCTCCAGGAAGGCGGCCAGAGGGCGGGCACTCGGCCCAGGCCTGGGTCTCAGAGCTGTGGAGACCCGAGGGTTCTGCCCACTGCTGCCCGTTCGCCCACCTCCCTGACGGCTCTTACAGAAATGGCACCCTGCCCGGCAGGCCTGGCTCAGTGGCCGAGCGCCGACCTATGACCCAGGAGGTCACGGTTCGATTCCGGGTCAGAACACATGTGGGCTCATCCCCAGTGGGGGGTGTGCAGGAGGCAGCCGCGCCTTCCCTGCAGGTGCTGCGGCCACCAGAATGCTGCCTCCCGCCCTGGACGGTGGCCTGCCCCCTCCCCTACACTCCCTCCCCGCACCCGTCCTGGGTCAGGCCTCCTGAGGACACGCTCTGAGCGCCGCCAACCAGGATGCGGCTGCTGAGGGGGCCTCCTGCTCCAGGAAGGCGGCCAGAGGGCGGGCACTCGGCCCAGGCCTGGGCCTCAGAGCTGTGGAGACCCGAGGGTTCTGCCCACTGCTGCCCGTTCGCCCACCTCCCTGACGGCTCTTACAGAAATGGCACCCTGCCCGGCAGGCCTGGCTCAGTGGCCGAGCGCCGACCTATGACCCAGGAGGTCACGGTTCGATTCCGGGTCAGAACACATGTGGGCTCATCCCCAGTGGGGGGTGTGCAGGAGGCAGCCGATCCATGACTCTCTCTCATCATGGATGTTTCTATCTTCCTCTCCCTTCCTCTCTCTGAAATGAATTTTTTTTTAAAAAAAAGGACCGTACGGCTGGCCCTCCCTGAAAAACAGCAGGTGAGGGTCGGACAGGTGAGTGAGCCAGGCAGGGAGCGAACCACCTCTGCGCTCTGCCAGCCACCACAGAAGCCACTGCCTTGCCCTGGGGCGTGGGGCACGGTGAGCAGAGGGACGGCCCACTCTTTCTGGCGTCTCCTCCCTGTGAGCGAGGGAGGGATCCGCTATGGCCATTAAGGCTCTCACACACAGGAGACATATACGTGTGTTTTCTCTGTCCCCCAATTACAGGACTTTGGGGGGAACAAGGGGAGCCCCCATGCTTCGTGGGGCCTCGCATCGATGTGAGAACGTCCACGCTAGTGCGCCCGCCGCTGCCCAAGCCACCGAGTGCCACTACCGCTCGCAGGTTCCAGCAGGACGAGGACGGCCCGAGCGGGTGTCATTTCCCAGTGAACATGGGCTTCTCTGCATGGCCCCCTCCCCCGCCTCCCACAGTCACCCCCTCTTCCCAAGGAAGCGAGTCGCCTGGGCCTCGGCGCCCACCTTCGCAAGAGCCCCACATCCGCACACCTCACCTGCCTGGTCCAGCACGAAGCTGGACGACACCCCGTCCGTGTCGCTCACGGACACGGAGTAGGTGCCCAGGTCCCCCTGGTCCGGGCTCTTGAAGTACAGCTTCGAGCTGCGGGCAAGCAGACCGGCGTCAGGACTCCTGCTCGTCCGCGTGTCTAAGGGGCCGCGGCCGCCCCCGCCGGTGCGACTTACTGGTCTCCGACGGTCTCCACCTGGAACTTGTCCTCGTCGGCGATCTCCTCGTAGGCCTTGCACCAGGTGAACTGGGAGGCGTCGGTCATCTCCGGGCAGTCGAAGCTCAGGTAGATGTTGCCCTGCTCGTCCACCCCCGCGCTGACCTCCTTCGTGCCTGCGGAGCGAGCACCGAGGTGACCACGCGGGACGGAGGGACACGCTGTCCTGTGGGCCTTCCCTCAGAGAGGGCCTGACAGGGGGCGGGGGCGGACATGGAGTCAGCTTTGCTCACCGTCCACCTAGACCAGTGATGGTGGCCCAGGAGGTCACGGTTCGATTCCCGGTCAGAACACATGTGGGCTCATCCCCAGGGGGGGGCGTGCAGGAGGCAGCCGATCCATGACTCTCTCTCATCATGGATGTTTCTATCTTCCTCTCCCTTCCTCTCTCTGAAATGAATTTTTTTTAAAAAAAAAGGACCGTACGCCTGGCCCTCCCTGAAGAACAGCAGGTGAGGGCGGACAGGTGAGTGAGCCAGGCAGGGAGCGAACCGCCTCTGCGCTCTGCCATTCCTCTCCCTTCCTCTCTCTGAAATGAATTTTTTTTTAAAAAAAAGGACCGTACGGCTGGCCCTCCCTGAAAAACAGCAGGTGAGGGTCGGACAGGTGAGTGAGCCAGGCAGGGAGCGAACCACCTCTGCGCTCTGCCAGCCACCACAGAAGCCACTGCCTTTCCCCGGGCACGTTGAGGAGGGAATGTCCGCTCTGCGCTCTGCCAGCCACCACAGAAGCCACTGCCTTGCCCTGGGGCGTGGGGCACGGTGAGCAGAGGGACGGCCCACTCTTTCTGGCGTCTCCTCCCTGTGAGCGAGGGAGGGATCCGCTATGGCCATTAAGGCTCTCACACACAGGAGACATACGTGTGTTTTTTCTGTCCCCCAATTACGGGATGTTGGGGGGAATGAGGGGAACCCCCATGCTTCGTGGGGCCTTCGCTATGGCCATTAAGGCTCTCACACACAGGAGACATATACGTGTGTTTTCTCTGTCCCCCAATTACAGGACTTTGGGGGGAACAAGGGGAGCCCCCATGCTTCGTGGGGCCTCGCATCGATGTGAGAACGTCCACGCTAGTGCGCCCGCCGCTGCCCAAGCCACCGAGTGCCACTACCGCTCGCAGGTTCCAGCAGGACGAGGACGGCCCGAGCGGGTGTCATTTCCCAGTGAACATGGGCTTCTCTGCATGGCCCCCTCCCCCGCCTCCCACAGTCACCCCCTCTTCCCAAGGAAGCGAGTCGCCTGGGCCTCGGCGCCCACCTTCGCAAGAGCCCCACATCCGCACACCTCACCTGCCTGGTCCAGCACGAAGCTGGACGACACCCCGTCCGTGTCGCTCACGGACACGGAGTAGGTGCCCAGGTCCCCCTGGTCCGGGCTCTTGAAGTACAGCTTCGAGCTGCGGGCAAGCAGACCGGCGTCAGGACTCCTGCTCGCGTGTCTAAAGACCGGCGTCAGAACTCCTGCTCGTCCGCGTGTCTAAGGGGCCGCGGCCGCCCCCCGCCGGTGCGACTTACTGGTCCCCGACGGTCTCCACCTGGAACTTGTCCTCGTCGGCGATCTCCTCGTAGGCCTTGCACCAGGTGAACTGGGAGGCGTCGGTCATCTCCGGGCAGTCGAAGCTCAGGTAGATGTTGCCCTGCTCGTCCACCCCCGCGCTGACCTCCTTCGTGCCTGCGGAGCGAGCACCGAGGTGACCACGCGGGACGGAGGGACACGCTGTCCTGTGGGCCTTCCCTCAGAGAGGGCCTGACAGGGGGCGGGGGCGGACATGGAGTCAGCTTTGCTCACCGTCCACCTAGACCAGTGATGGTGAACCTTTTGAGCTCGGCGTGTCAGGGTCTCCCCGCTCGCCCCCCGCTCCCCTCCTCTCGGCCCAGCATTTTCGAGGGGGAAGAGGAGACCTTGTTGTTACCTTTTGACCAAGATGGGCACCTGGCCCCTCCCCCGGGCCGGGGAGAATCGCCTGCCTCCGAGGAACTAGGATGGAGGAGACACCCCACCTCCGGGTGAGGGCTGAGGCCAGGCTCACAGAGGCTGCTGGTCGGGGGGACGGGGAGACGGGGAGGCCCAGAGCCAGGACGACGCCAGTGCAGCTGATGCCCAGGGAGAGGAGGAGGGACACCTGCCCTTCCAACCGGCTCCACCCCCCGCAGCTCGGACGCCCGCCCCCCGCATCCTGCGAGCTCCGAACCCCCAGAAGTACGCCCTGGTCCTGGTCGGGTTGTTCAGTGGTTAGACCACTGACCTCAGACCGAAGGGCCTCAGGCTCAACTTCCGGTCAAAGGCACGGACCTCGGCTGCAGGTTCAATCCCTGGCCCCGTTTGGGTCACCAGCGGGAGGTAGCCCATCGATGTGTCTCTCTCACATCAGAGTTTCTCTCTCTGTCTCTCCCTCTAAAAAAAAATCTATGGGAAAAATGTCCTGGGGTGAGGATTAACAAAATAAGTTAAAATTAAAAAAATAAAAACAAAGAAGTATGTCCCTGTCGGGGCCACCCCCTGGGCTCTCCTTACTGGCAACCAAAAATCAGCAGGACCATCACTGAGCTAGACCATTAGGGCCGGGGAGGAGCCAGCCGCTCCAGCCACACAGGGACTGCGGGCCTCACACAGATGGGGGGCTGCACACAGATGGGGGACGCACACAGATGGGGGACGCACACGGATGGGGGCTGCACATGGATAGGAGGTCATACACAGACAGAGAGGCCTCACACGGATGGGGGGCTGTACACGGATGGGGGCTGCACACGGACGGGGGCTTTGCGGTTTGTTCCAAGCCTCCACATTCCTGCACGTGTGGCCGTTTCCCCCTCTGCACGCAGGACCACTGGGCTCACCTTGGCGCTGCCACTCCCGGCCCCGAAGGTCCTTCTCTCCCTGAGGTCGGCCCTGGCCGCTCCCGGGCCCAGCAGCCACGGCCACACCAGGGTCTCCCCGCTCGCCCCCCGCTCCCCTCCTCTCGGCCCAGCATTTTCGAGGGGGAAGAGGAGACCTTGTTGTTACCTTTTGACCAAGATGGGCACCTGGCCCCTCCCCCGGGCCGGGGAGAATCGCCTGCCTCCGAGGAACTAGGATGGAGGAGACACCCCACCTCCGGGTGAGGGCTGAGGCCAGGCTCACAGAGGCTGCTGGTCGGGGGGACGGGGAGACGGGGAGGCCCAGAGCCAGGACGACGCCAGTGCAGCTGATGCCCAGGGAGAGGAGGAGGGACACCTGCCCTTCCAACCGGCTCCACCCCCCGCAGCTCGGACGCCCGCCCCCCGCATCCTGCGAGCTCCGAACCCCCAGAAGTACGCCCTGGTCCTGGTCGGGTTGTTCAGTGGTTAGACCACTGACCTCAGACCGAAGGGCCTCAGGCTCAACTTCCGGTCAAAGGCACGGACCTCGGCTGCAGGTTCAATCCCTGGCCCCGTTTGGGTCACCAGCGGGAGGTAGCCCATCGATGTGTCTCTCTCACATCAGAGTTTCTCTCTCTGTCTCTCCCTCTAAAAAAAAATCTATGGGAAAAATGTCCTGGGGTGAGGATTAACAAAATAAGTTAAAATTAAAAAAATAAAAACAAAGAAGTATGTCCCTGTCGGGGCCACCCCCTGGGCTCTCCTTACTGGCAACCAAAAATCAGCAGGGGCTGCGTCACTTCCTGCCGCAAATCCCCGGTGAGGTCAAAGCCGCCATCACCTGCACACGCTGTGTTAACGTCAAATAAAGGTTCCGCTGATGCCCACACAGATCCAGCGTGCCCTTGCCTGTCCCGGCGGGAGAGCCCGCGGGCCCTGAGAACTCGCTCTGTGTCCCTGCGGTCCACCGGCTTCCAAACCTGTCACCGATCATCCACATTCACGCCCGTAACTCCGGGTCCCCTCGC